GGGGCGAGCGGGCCACTGGGGCCGGCCACCTCCCGTCGTTAACCCGCGCCGCGAGGGAAGCGACGACCGCTTTCGGAAAGGGCTGGAAACAAGGCGGAAAGGACTTACAGCAGTGAGGCAGGCAGGGTTAGAGTCCCCAGGGGGCAGTTAATAAGACAGTTTGGTTCTGGACAGAACAGACAGAAAAGAAAAAGAAAGCAAGTAGGTTGGAAAGAATTGTTTTAATCGAGTATTTTGCAAAGTGAAGGTTTCTTGTCGGCAAGGAAGTCTCCGGATGTTCCTACCCGTTCAGATCATGTTACCGCTGTACCACAGGGGAAACTAATAACGATAAAAAAAAGATAAGCCACCCAGCAGAAACAAATTTAGAAAAGAAAGAAGCAAACAAACCAACCCTTCCCAAACCTAGCAGAGTCTCAGAAGTGGACACGGCATTAAATCAACCCAAACGTTTCTATCCAGCAGAGAAAGCTGCCTTTTATCCTTTGCCAAGCCTGATTAGGGTCGGGGGGGGGGGGGGGGGGCTGCGGGAAAGAGGAGAAAAGCTGTATTTTTTTCCTTTGTTTGATTTTGAGAAAGAATTTCTGCTCAGGAGATCCTTAAAAGGCCAAAAGGCCGCTAACGTTTTATGTTACGGAGATGCCTGTACGAAGCTTTGAGGGCAGCTACTTGCCTCTCCCTTCTTGCTCCTGTGTAACAGGCGCGCTGAAAGGGAGACGCAAACTGAAGTAAAAGCACTCGCTTTCTGCCACCGCCTTCTTCCCTTCTCTTTTCCCGTCTCCCCTCCAGCGCTGCCCGGCTCAGCTGCAAGCACGCAGCAGTTGCTCTGCCCGGGTGGCCAGAGGACACAGCAGCTCCCTTTCCCGTGGAGCCCCGCGGCCAGGCCTTTCACCGCGCTGTCTCCAGCAGGGGGTCTGGCCCCCACCGCCGTATAGCACTGTAACCTCTGTGATTTACACCCTTGCCGGCTACAGAAGAGGAACGTTCCTGCTGCTCTAACGTGGCCAGCTAGCTAAACCTAACCTGCCTTTTTAAGATAATATTTATACATTCTATGATATGCACGTGAGATAGTGGTTTAGCGAATTTGCAGGATAAGATATTACTAGGCTGCAGTGGGTGGATGTAAATTTGCTTGTAAGCAGCTCTGGGCAAGTTACAGTGAAAATATAGAGCTACTGTGAAAATGCATTGCTACTGTGTATGCATATATAGGCACACATACATATGTGTGTAAATATTTTTTATACATATATATATATGTATATACACATATATATGAACTAGATTTTATATTTGCAGCAGGAAAATAAAAGGAAATTATGTAACTGGAACATCCAGATGCTCAAATTAGAGAAAAGCTGCCAACAGGTGCTCCAAGCAAGTTTAAAAGTCATGAATATGCGATGCCCTGACTGCAAGGAAAGGAAGGCTTTCTTGGGTATGGGGGTCGCTTGCATTGGCTGGAAACCAAGAGGGGAGAAAGGTGCCCAGCAAGGAGGAGCGGAGGGCAGCAGGGCAGCACTGGCTGGTGTGGCTCC